TTCAATCCCCAGGTCCCAATGGTGGAAAGGACTGCAGTAAGTTGTTATTTGATCTCAAATGCACACTCTAAACACTAATAACTAAATAACATAATAATGATTTTAAAATAAATAATTTCAAGGAAATTGCTACTATTACAACATGTTGAGAATAAGAGTTTATACACCTACTAACTGTACTGAACAAAAACTGTCCCCATTTCAGAACATGTTTCATAATTCATTTAAGATGGGCCATCCTCCATCTCAAATATGACACTACCTCACATAAAGTCTTTCCACCTGGGTACAGTGGCCTGTACCTCTAGTCCTAGCACTTGGGAGGGTGAGGCAGAGGATCACCTGAATCTACTAGTTCAAGTCCAACCTGGACAATATAGCAAGAGCCCATATCAAAAAAGTAGCAAACCACAAGCTTTTTACGATACTAAGGATTTTTGGGTTTTTTGTTTTGTTTTGTTTTGGTTTGGTTTTAGTTTTCCAAAACAGGGTTTCTCTGTAGCTTTGGAGGCTGTACTTGCTCAGCAGACCAGGCTAGCCTCAAAATCAGAGATCCACCTGCCTCTGCCTCCCGAGTGCTGGGGTTAAAGGCATGTGCCACCACCCGGCTGATACTAAGGGTTTTTAATATGACTCAAAGTCTCTCACTCTGATCACAGGTTTGTTTTGTCTAATCTACCACACCTCCAATGCTAAAGTCACAGGTTCCAGAACACACCCTGCCTAGCCTTCATGCTACCTTTAGTGACTAATAATCAGCAATAACAGAATTATAAAAATATAGCAATTGAGATATATCCTATGAAAGAGCTGCATAACAGGAATGGATGTGACTAGGGATTTCTGTGGTTGTTTTGTCTGTTGTCTTCTGTGTAGGCAGGACAAGCAGGGTTTCCCTAAATTTCTTAGACTGAAGTTCAGTGCACATGTGCTGCCTTCTAACTCTACTAGCCTGTCCACAACAGAACTCTTATAATTTAATTCCTCAAGTCTCCACTTCAAAAAAGGATCCTTGCCAAAGCTACACTGCCTGTCATATTCCATAATGCCACCATGTCTTCCTTAGCACATTTTAAGAATGCCAAAACCTTTCACATTCACAAAGATATAAAATCCACACCAGTTTCACAATCTGTGATAGTCCCAATGCAAACAGAGTCAAATGGCAGAAACTCTATTAGAAATGAAAGGTCAGGGCTGTATCTTAGGTCTGAAGTATCAGCATTACAAGAGTTCTTATAAGAAACACAACTCTCAGGCTCAACTCCAAACTTAATGAATCAAACTCTGGAGGTTAGGAAGCCCAGCAAATCCTTTCTGATTCACAGTAAACTGACATCCTCTGCCTTAAATATCTCAAGTATCAAAAATTACCGTAACACAATCAGGCACCTTTAATCCCAGCACTCGGGGAGGCAGAGGCAAATGGATCTCTCTGAGTTCCAGGCCAGCCTGGTTTAGAGCTAGTTCCAGGACAGCCAGGGCTGTTACACAGAGAAACCCTGTCACAAAAAAAAAAAAAAAAAAAAAAAAAAAAAAAAGTACCATAACAAACATTTGAAAAATATGTACTACAAAGCTTTATAATAATCATTCATTTACTAAATATATATTAAATGTACTGTGTAAGAAAAACAAAATAACTAGCACCTACTAGTAATTTCCAGCTCACCCAGGCCAGTATTTTTCCTCTTTACCCCTCCCATACACTCTTACTGTGCATACATATTTTAACAAGCAAGAACAACACAAGTTAGCTGAATATGAAGTTTAAAACACAATAATGCCCAATTATCTGCTGAATGGGTTTCCCCCATATTCATATGCCTATTTTAGCCTAAAGAGTGATTAGATGAGCTAGGGAAAATCCTCTGAATGAGACAGTGCCCTTATATAAAAGCCCCCAGGGAGCAGCCTTGCTTATCCACCACAAACAGATAAAGGAGAAACATGTATCTATGAACCAGGGCAAAAGCTCCCACTAGACACTGGGCATGGTGGTGCATGCCAGCACTCAGTAAGCTGTGATAGAAAGACACCCTCCAGCCAGCCAGTACTATATGTAGCAAGACTGTCTGGAAAAAGATGCCAGAGGGTGGTGGCATATGTCTTATCCTAGCACTTGGAGGTAGGCGGCTCTCTAAGTTCGAGGCTAGCTTTATCTACAGAGCTACTTCCAGGACAGCTATGGCTACACAGCTTTGTCTTGAAAAAATAAAATAAATTTAAAAAGTTAAAAAGGTGATTGGGGGAGGGGAGCTACAACTCAGGATATAGCTCAGATGGCAGAGTCCTTACCTGGCTGGCATGCACAAAGGTCTGGGTTCAAGACACAGCTCAACCTAAACCACATATTGTGGTACACACAATCTCAGCACTAGGGAGGCTGAGGCAGGTGGATCAGGAATTCAAGATCATCCTCTACATAGCGAATTTTAAACCAGCCTCACTGAGGCTGTAGAGGAATAGTAAAAGAAGGGGCTGGGGAGATGACAGTCATGTAAATGTTTTCCTTGAAAGCATGAGGCCCAGAATTCAGATCCACAGCACCCACATAAAAGCTGTGAATGGCAATGTATGCCTATAACCCTGGTGCTCACTGGCCTACCAGCCCAGCTAAATACACAAACTTCATGTTCAATAAGGGATCCTGTCTCAAAAAATTAAATAAATAAAGGGATTTGGGAGATAGCTCACAGTTAAGATCACTTGTTGCTCTTTCAAAGAACCAGGGTTCAATTCATGCTTACAACCATGTATAATTCCACTTCCAGGGGATCTGACACTCTCTTCTGACCTCCACAAGCATCAGGCACAGAAGTAGCACATGGAACACACGAGCAAAACACTCATTCACATTAAAAATCTAAAAGAAATTTTAATTAAAAAAAAACCACTCTGGCCTCCACACACATACACATGCATACATGCAAATACATGTACTTGAGCACTTACACACACATGTACATGCACTATATACATGTTAACACACAGAGAGAAAAGAAAAAGAAAGGGCCTTGCAGACAATGAACCTGTTGGTGCCTGCCCCTGGATATCCTGTGCTCTAAAACCCTTAAAAATTTGTTATTTGTAAGTTTGCCAGTTAATGATATTTTGTGATAGCAACCTAAATGGACTAAGACAGTACCTCTCTCACCTCATTTCCTCCTACATATCCTATTTCTTCCATCTTTCCAGGCAGTAAATAACTAATCTTTCACTACAAATCTTTTTCCTTTTTCTTTTCTTTTTTTCAGAGACATTCACCACCACACCTAGCTTTCATAACACATCCTAAATTTCATTCACCCTTCTACTCATATTTATAATGAAACTTTCTTCTTCTTTCCCAAATATTGCATATAAATTCTATTCCTCTTTTAGGCCTAGCTCAAATGACTCTTTTGATTATCAGTGGGAAGGCCCACATTTCCAAATGTCTAGCAATCTAGTATCTTCTCCAGCAAGATGGCTCTTTAGTTTGTCACTATACTAATCCCACTCTTTTCCTTTTTTTGCACCAAAAGCAAGATGTTTTGTTCAGCTCACCCTGAACAGTCTGCTAGGTGCCTCAAATTTCAGTGTCTACCTGATCTGGGCACTGGAAATAAAGGAATTAAGTAAGGCACAGTTGTTTCCAGAATCTACATTCCATGAGAAGGAACAGATTAGCACACAATGACAGTAATAAAAGTGAAGGAGGGAGTCACCAGAGAATGGGAATATCTGAATAGCAGAGTCAAATGAGTTAGTCAGTGTTTGTATGTTTAAATGACCAGACCATAATCACTTTCCTAAAAATCAGATGGAGGAAAACAGAAACTAGGAAACTATGATTAGCCTGAATTCTTCTGACTAAAATGTATTATTCCTTTGACTAAAATGTAGAACAAATTTAGCTTATTGTATATGATGGAATGATGTTTTCAATATATAAACTGCAAAATACAGGTAACTCAGCTCACTTAAAAAATGGCCTATAGTCACAGCCATTTTGAAGCACAAGGAAATTTTGCAAAGAAAGGGTTCCTCCAAGAAAGGGCAGAAAGGGCGAAACAAATGCACCCTTTAGAATGAAGGAATTCAGGAACCTGTCACAATATAACTGCCAAGCTTATTTTCAGACCTCAAATGCCCTTGGTCTCCGCCTCCCAACAAAAACAAATCATTTGTTCTGAGCAATAACTGCAAAGCTTGCAAATTAAAAAAAAAAAAAGGCTTTTAATTTTCCATGAAAACACACTCAAAAAATTTCAAAACCTTTTTAGATATTTCTGTCAAAAGGCCAGATGATCACCTAAGGCCACAATATGTACTATGTGTAACACACTATTACTCAGGTTTTCAACTGACACTAGATAGTAAAGCTTCCAGACTATTCTTCCATACCTCCAATCTCATCTCCCCGCTTCCGCCCTCCAAAACAGAAAAAGGAAAGGCAGGCTACGAATCTGTTCGTGCCCGCCCAACAGCTCCCGGGAAGCAATCACCTTCAAATTGTTCCTGCTTAGCCCCCTGAAGCCTGAAGAAGGAAATAGGGACAGATGTGCAAGCTGGCGACAAGGACATCCGACTAGGGGTAGAGGAAATGCGGATGGTCGAGGACCAAGGGGAAGAGGGGGCGGCGGAGATAAAATGGTGAAGAGGGAAAGGGGGGGGCGAGGAGGGAAAGTAAGCAAAATGCGGGAAAGAAAAACAGGGAAGGAAAGGGGAGGCTAACGATCACAGAGGAGAAAGGGACAATGGTTGAGGAGAAAAGGGAAGGGTTAAGGACGGGGGCTGAGGGGTGAAGAACGCGAAGGAGGCTGTCATTGGGGAGGGGACACAAAAGGGTGTCACCGGAGAGGGAGATTAAAGGATGCCCCCTAAAAGGATTCGCTCCTGCTGGATGGGTACCGCCGGGTTCAGAGGAGGAGGAGGCCGAGGGTGCGGGAAGAAGGGTGAGGACGCTAGGCTGCCCGGGGGTTGGGGTGGGGGACAGGCAGGCCGCCCTAGCTCACCATAGCTGCGTGGGCCTGGTCCTCCGGCATGCAGCCTCGGTCCTGAGAGTGGCGGCGGGCCGAGCCCGAGCCCGCCCCTAAGATCTGCCGGCGCGGGGGCTCCAGGAGGCTCGGGTCCGGCAGCGGCTCCGGGCAGGGCCCAGGCCTCGGCCTCGCTCTCCTGAACTACAGCACCACAGCCGCAGCCGCAGCCGCAGCCTGACCGAAACACAGACTCCGCCTCGCTCGCCGTGCCCGCCGCGCCCCGCCCCGCCCCCACGAGGTCCCGGCCCTCTCCCGTGCCCACTGCGCCCTGCCCCCTAGAAGTCCCGCCCCTCTCCCCCGCCCCCGCCGTGCCTGCCGCGCCCCGCCCCACAAGGTCCCGCCCTCTCGCTCCGCCCCCTGAGACTCCGCCCTGTCCTAGCGTAGACTCTCCCTTCTTATAGCGAGATTCCTTAAAGGCGCCAACCCCTCTCGAGCATGTCTAGCCTTTCTGACTGGGAGAGAGTTAAACCTTACCACCTCCGGGAGACAGCAGTGTTTGCCCGTCACTCACCCTCATTTTTTAAAAAGTTTATTTAATGTGTATTGATGTGAGGGTGTCAGATCCCCTGGAACTGGAGTCACAGACAGTTGTGAGCTGCCTTGTAGATGCTGGGAATTGTACCAGGGTCCTCTGAAAGAGCAACCAGTGCTCTTAACCTCTGAACATCTCACCCTAATTTTTTAAATTTAATTTCTGATTCCCAGTCATTAATTATGTTGTCATCACTCTTGATGATTTCAGCATTATGTTACATGATTTTGTTTTGTTTTGTTTTGTTTTTTGAGATAGGATCTCTCTATAGATCCTGGCTGTCCAGAAACTCATTATGCAAACCAGTCTGGCCTGGAACTCACCTCTGCCTCCTGAATGCTGGGATTAAAAGCATACACCACCACACCCCAGCTCAATTATTTAAAAATTTTTATATTTATTTACTTTGTATGTATTTGATCGTGTATGGGGTGTGAGTACCTGTGGAGGTCAGAAGACTTGCAGTTCAGCCAGACGGTTCTCCTCAGAAATTAAACTCAGATGATCATTCGTGGAGGCAAGGGCCATTTAACCTCTACATCATCTGACTAGTCCTAAGCAATTTATTATTTTTACATTTTATTTTATGAGTATGGATGTTTTACCTGCATGTATGTCCCATGTACCACTTGTGTGTTTGCTGCCCATGAGGTCAGGAAAGGGAACCAGATTCCCTGGAACTAGAGTTACATAGCAGTGAGCTGCCATGTGGGAGCAGGGAATTGGACCAGTGTTCTCTGGAAGAGCAGCCAGTGCTCTTAGTTGCTGAACTCTCTCCAGCTGAAGATGTTTGATTTTTGCAGTGCTCTGGCCTTTCTGGCTCCCCTCCTCTAAGATCGCCCTTGCTCCTGCCTCCCATTGCCACATGTCTTACTGCCAGTAATTGTGACCTTTTGAAATGTCCATTTATTTATTTATTTATTTATTTATTGTGATGCTGAGGATGAGCCTGGGGCCTCTAATATACTAGGCAAGTGCTCTGCCTGACACTGAGCCACATCCACTGGCCTCGCAATCTCAATTTTGACTATCTACCTTACCCTTCTTAATCTCCTGTCTTTTTAGCTCACTCTCTGATGCTCCAACTTTCAACTCATTCAAGACCAAAAGGCCACTGGTCCACTTCCTTTAATTATTTCCTAGAACTATTTTCAGCATCTCATTTCAAAAATCCACTTAGAGTCTGTTGCCCATGATGAGAATCATTCCCAGTATTCACTGTCTTCATCCCTCTCTCTTTCCTTATCCAAAAAGCTCCAGGGGCTGGAAGATGACTCAGCACTGGCTGCTCTTCCAGGGAACCCAGGTTCAATTCCCAGCACCCACATGGCAGCTCACTACTGTGATTCCAGTTCCAGAGGATCTAACATCCTCACATCAACACACATTAAATAATTTTTTCAAAACATGAGGTGAGTGATGGGCAAGCATGCAAAACAATAAATGTAAAATAAAAATAAATAAAATTAAAAACAAAGATACTAAGCATAAATTCTCTGTGTGTGCGTGCGTGCGTGCAGACCACTCTCAGTCTTACCCACTTTCAAGTACATAGTTCAGGTAGCATTAAGTGCTGCTGTAACCATCACCAACCTTGCAGGCTCCAGACCTGCCACTTGCTTGCTTGCTTTCACTTTATGGCACTGGGAATTAACCCCAGGGCTTTGCGCACACTGTGCAAGTGCTCTCCTCTTGGGCAATATCCTCAGCTGCTCAGAACTCTTCTGCTCTTGCAAAACTGAATGTCCATGCCCATTAAATAGTAACTCCCCATTGTCTCTCACCACCCTTTGGCAGGCACTGGGCTACTTTTTTGTTGGTTGTTGCAGTACTGAATATTAACTTGATGGCCTCACACATGCTATGCAAACTCTCTACCACTGAGCCACACCCCAAAGGTAACTGAGTCTTAGTTTTTAATCTCTGTGATTTTGCTTCCTCTAGGTCAGGGGTGTGTATGTGTTTGTGTCCAGAGATTGAACCTATGACCTCCAGCATGTCAGGCATGCTAGGCAAGTGCTCTACCACTGAGCTATATGTCCACCCAGATGATGATGATGGCCTATTGCCTGAGAATTTATAATTAACAATAAGTCTCTGGGATTATTTGGGAGCTAGCTGGTGGGGCAGAAAATTCTGCCTACAAGACTTTGATCCCAACACTCAGGAGACAGGAGGCAGAAGCAGATGAATCTCTGATTTCAAGGCCAGCCTGGTCTACAAAGCAAGTACCAGGATACTCAGGTCTACACAGAAATGCCTATCTCAAAAAAAAAAAAAAAAAGTTGGGGTATGGTGAGAGGGTGGTAGCTCAGGCTTAGCATGAAGATCAGGAGTTCAAGGTCATTCTCGGGTACAAGTCAAGTTCAAGGTTAGCCTGCTACTTGAGACCATGTCAAAAAAGAAATAAACGAAGAAAAAGAAAGTTAGTGTAGTCTGCTCCAACCCTGGGGAATCAGAACAACAAAAGTGGTTTGGGGAGGCTAGAACTGTCAAGGATAGAGGGAGAAGTTTGGTCCAGGTATAACATTTTTTTTTTTATTCCATTAAGGTAATTAGTCCTACAAAAGTTAGTATTCCCTCAACCTCCCTATTCTCTTTGTGCTGATTAGCCAATCTCCTCAGAGTATGAAATCAAACTCACACTAATGGGATAAGACACCATTAGATTTAGAGATAAAAACAAATGCCAACTCTGGGTTCTGGTCACATCCTTTCTTACAAAAGAAATTGCCTTGCTTGTGACAGCTCCCTACTCTTAGTAGGCCCCAAGAATTTAGCACAACTGAGTCCATGGTGGAAATACCATTCAGGCTCTAAAACACAGCATGTAGAGAGCCTCACCTGCCAAAACTAAAAAAAGGCCTAATCTCCCAAAGCCAACAATTCTGGAAAGGTCCCCTAAATGTATTAGCCTTGATTTTTGGTTTCTGTAGTCCCACTTCTGGCTAATTCTTCTTGTGAACTAAAGTATGTCAACCCATTACATAGTATTTGTGCTTAAAAGCTCACCCTAAGAAAGGCTAGGGTATACACTGGGAGTCCCCATCAGCTAATTAAGACCTTCTATTGGTTTAAACCCAAGTCTGAGCAGTCTCCTCTGGTAGATACCCCATAACATTTGTGGAGGTCATATCAAGATCCCAGAGACCAAATCTTGAGACAGGAGTCTCAAAGCCCCTTGGAGTGCAGGTGATATGGAGACTCCTAGGGTGTGTGCAACCTGAGATGTTCCAGGTCCCTAGGGCTCCCCTTTGATCAGTCCTTACCTAACACTGAAGTGGGGTCTGACACCTCTACCCCAAAAGGAAACAAATTAGGTAGTCACCTGGTCTGTCTGTCACCTTCAGAGATGAGTCTAGTTAAGACATCTTCTGTTTGAACACATAGGAGAGGTAGGACATAGCTGCTATTCTAGTGTCCAGGGTCCATATGAGACATCACTGGATTTCTCTGTCTGTTCAGGTGTATGACTGTGTGATGGCCACCCCTAGTTGGTTTTTTTTTTTTTTTTTTAACCATTTCTCTCTCTCTCTCTCTCTCTCTCTCTCTCTCTCTCTCTCTCTCTCTCCCTCTGCCTCTCTCTCTTTTTATCTCTCTGTCTCTCTCTCTCTCTCTCTCTCTGTGTGTGTGTGTGTGTGTCTTTCTATGTGTTACTGTCAATTTTGTTTTCCTATATTGACCATTGGCTTTCTCTGGTATGAGACCCTCCCCTGTCCTATCTTAACACCTGGGGACCCGAATCCTTTCCAGGATAGGCTCCAAAGCAATACAGAGAAGTCCTGTCTCGAAAAACAAAACAAAACTCCTCAGGCTGGGCAGAGGGATCAGGATCAGACGACACAGCATAGACAGACCAGATTTTCCCTTCTGTCCAACACTGACCAAGGAGACTTTCAACAACGTTCACTGGATCTTTTGGACAAACTGAAAGCCTTTGTCACCTTCTCTGACTTTCAGTTAGACTTACAGATACCCAGCAAAATTTTGGTGTCTCACCCTCTGTGGGAAGAAACCAACCCCCGGGACTGGCCCAACACCAAGTTCCTATAATTGTTCAACTAACCAGTTTAGCTACCTCTGCCCAATTTAACAATACCCAATGACTCTGGAAACAAAAGGGAAAATTGCAGCCCATATTGTCTGGTTCCCTGCCAGTCACCCTGGAATATGCCTCTCCTGCCTGTGAAGAAACCTGGGACCTGTAATACTCATGAGTCTGATTCTTCTAGAGAAACAGATATACACTGTCTTGGACCTGAACTATGGATTTTCAGCCTCCCAATCTCAGACTTGAGTTAACCCATCTTTGCTTTTAAATGGACAAACCCAGAGAGAGATCACAGCAGACAACATACCTGGACCAGGTTGCCCCAGGATTTAAAAACATTAAATGCAAACTCCTTGCCCTTCTGTCAGAGGTTTCCTGGGAAAAGAGTCGCTGAGAAACTGCTGCAAGAATTACAGATCTTGAACTACAAAATGTCAGATAAGAAAGCCCACCTTTGTAGAAGGTGACCTATATTGGCTACCAGCTGAGGGGAAGCAAACGGAGTCTGTCTCTGAGCAGGATTGCTGTCATTCTTCAGATCCCAGCTCCAAAATCTAAGAGACAGATTCAAGAGTTCTTTGGTGCAGCTGGATATTGCTGCCTCTGGACACCAGAGTTTGCAGAAATAGCAAGGCCTC